AAAGGAGGAGGATTGGCAATAGATGTTAGCTCAGAGCCAGTCTTCCTCAGCAAAAAGAGGAGGATTAGCATGGATGTTAGCTTAGGGCTGATCTTCCTAACAAAATAAATAAATAAATAAATAAAACTTTAAAAAAAAAAAAGGACTGAGTGAATTCCTGCCTCTACAGCAGCCTCTCTTCCTGTGGTTCTCGAATATTGGGCATAGGAGACACTTACAACACGGGCCATCTTTCTTCCTTTTTCCAGATTGGTGGCACGACTCTTGGAAGTGAGTCCATTTGAGCCCTGGACCACGAGGGATAAGGTGGAGCGGGTGAGTATGCGGGTGGACAGCGGCCCGGGCAGATGTTGGGAGAGAGCTGCAGAGATGGATAAGGAAGAAGGGATTTTTTTTTGCTTGCTCGCTTGGGTTATTCTCATGCTCTGGTCTGTCCTCCTTCTGTCTAAAGTCAGCCCTTCCGCTTGTGTGCTGAAACTCACCCTCTCTTAGCCTGCTCCAGGGTGTGGTTTCTCCATTATCTTCTCTCGGACATCATCAGTGTTTCTCGGCTGGGTCATTCCCATCGGTGTACAGACATGCCTTAAGAGCTCCATTTCTTTACAGGCAAAACCCTCCCTGCCCCCACGTCCCTTTTAGCTGTGGCCCTGTTTGTCTGTGTCCCTTTGTGTCATACCCTCGGAACTGCTGTCTATACCTGCTGTTGACAGTTTTTTACCTCATTCTTTCTTTAACCCACTCCATTCAGGCTTTTGTTCCCATTTCTCCCCTAAAACTGCTCTTTTCAAGGTCACCTGTGATCTCCAGTCTGCCAAATCCAATGGTCAGTTCTCTGACCTCATCTCACTCCACCTGTGAGCAGCGTTTGTCACAGGGGCCCCTTCTCTCCTTCCTGAAACCCTGATTTCTCACCTCTTTTCTGGCCAACTCCACCTTCTCTTGCTTTTCCTCCTCTTATTAGGCCATGTTTTTCAGTCTCTCTTCCTGGTTCACTCTCTTCTTCTTGATCTCTAAATTTTGGAGGACCTCAAGGCTCTGTCCTCAGCCCTTTTCTGTCTTTACTCATTCTCTAAATGACCATCACCTCATCCCGTGCTCCAGCTGCTGTCTGTAAGCTCATGGCTGCAATTTTATTGCCAGCCCTGAATTGCCCTCACGCCCTCAGCTGCGCAGACTCTTAAATCTATTTAGATATGTTATAGTCATCTGAAACATAACATGTCCTTAAATAGAATTGCAAACCTGCATTTCCCCTAGCCTCTCTCATCTCAATTAACATCACTATTCTCTCTGTTGCTCAAGCCAAAAATCTAGGAATCCCCCTTGATTTCTTCTTTTCCCTTACCAGTGTAGATCTAAACCAGTACTGTCTGGTAGAACTTTCTGCAATGATGGAAATGTTCTATAATCTACAGTGTCCAAAACGTAACCACTAGCAACATGTGACTTGAACACTTGACGTGTAGCTAGTGTGACTGCAGAAATAAGATTTGAATTTTATTAAATTTTAATTAATTTAAACTTAAAATCATCACATTTGGCTAGTGGCTATTATATTGGACAGCATAGATCTAAACCATCAGCAAGTATTATTCGGGTAACCCTCAAAATCTATGCCAGATCTTACTACTACTCCCTCTTCCTACCTTTTTATTCAACTTTTTAGTATGAAAATGTGTATAATAGTATTGGAATTTTTCAGTTTACAGAAAGGTAGAGGAAATAATTATCTCCCCTCTACCCACTCTGACCCAAGCTGCTCTCCTTCCTTATTCTCTTGACCGGTCTCCTGCTGCCTCTTCTCGCTCTACAGCATGTTGAATGCCAAAGCTCTGGCTTTTCCCATCTTGCTGTCTCCCATTCTAGTCGTCCTCATTGATCATTTGCCACTGTGTGTAGGAGTGTTTGTAGGGAGGATACAAAATAAAATAAAAATACTGTACTGTCCCTGCCTTTGAAGACTTGTTGACCTTTTATCAACAAGCAGCAGCCAGATTGTCCTCTGAATGTTACCTAAAAGCTAACATGTGGAGAAGATGACAAAATAGTCCTTAGGGAACAGATGTGAATAGGCAGCCATTATCCTCCCCTCTGACAGGCTGCATCTGGAAAGCTGAGACCATTTTCAAGATGTCCCTTCAGTGTTCAAGAAAGATTGGGCAGGAGAGCTGGGTGTCAGAACACTTCAGTGTTTCTTACACTAATGTGCCTCCTATAAGTGAGAAAGTGTTGATTCACTTGGCCGAATGGGTTTTGGATTCGTTTGGAGACTTCTTTACAGCTCTCTGGTAGAGTGAGACTTTCTCGGGTAGTGAGGATGAAGGATTAATGCTGCTCTATTCGCAGATCAATCCTCTTCATATGCTTTTGGATGAGCTGGAATCTTTGAAAATCTTATAGTTCATGCTTCTTTACAAACAAGATGGGTTTGGTTTTTTAGATCTATAGTGAGCATTAGTCAAGCAGGTAAGTATAGCTGGAGCACAAAGGTTAATGGATTCTCTCTCAATGAACAAAGAACAAATGCTGATTATCTCCTTCCTTCATTTAAAACAGAGGCAGAAAGCCTGTGTTCAGAGGGCAGGCACAGGGAGACTTGGGGAATGGGCTGGTTCTGCTTTAGCCTCTGTTTTATTCCTGCCCCTACTGTAAAGCCACCCTGACGAATGCAGTGGTTCGTGCTCCCCACTCTAGACTTATCCTGTGTAAATCTCACTGAGAGCCGGTGTCCTGTGCTCCTGGATAATGCTGGGGACCTTTGGGCTGATATTTGGTGACCTTGCCTTTTTCCCCTTAAACTCTTTTTTTTACAGTCTACTTTTAGTGAGTTCCAGGAATCAAAATCTGCCACATCTCCTTTGAAAACAGTTAAGTCTTGGTAATGGGGCTCAGGTCGGCTCAAATGTCTATAAGTGTTTGCTAGGATAGCACGTTGTGTTCTTGGCTAGTTCTCGGCGCTCTCCATGGTTCTTTGTTTCTTCACAGGTTCACATCACAGACATGACCCTGCCTCACCTCCCTGGCTTGGAGGACCTTGGTATTCAGGCAACACCCCTGGAACTCAAGGCCATTGAGGTGCTGCGGCGTCATCGCAGTTACCGCTGGCTGTCTTCTGAAATGGAAGAGGTGAAGCCAGCCAAGACTGTCGACGTTTAGTGGCTCCTGAGCTGCCCTTGGTGTTTGGTGTCATTCAGGTCACCTGGCTAGTGACCAGCCACTTTCGTCAGAGAATCTTGTACATAGTGAATAAGATCCCTCTCTTAAAACATCTGGGGTTAAATTCTGCTACCACATTTTCTTTCTTGATTTATAAAATGAGAAATTCAGTCATTTAGAATTGGAGCATAATTTTCTCCAAATATATATATTTAATAATGACATATATATCATTTATTCTCTGAAATGCTGGAGGATTTGAATTTCCCTATGTCAGGCCACTTCTAGCATATGTTCTGGAAGACAAGGTGTCTTTTTAATGTCAAAATATTATGAAGACCCCAAGTGATATGTGATTGTCTTTTTTTTGTGTGTGAGGAAGATCAGCCCTGAGCTAACATCCATGCCAATCCTCCTCTTTTTGCTGAGGAAGACCGGCTCTGAGCTAACATCCATTGCCAATTCTCCTCCTTTTTTTTCCCCCAAAGCCCCGGTAGATAGTTGTATGTCACAGTTGCACATCCTTCTAGTTGCTGTATGTGGGACGCGGCCTCAGCATGGCCGGAGAAGCCGGATCCGAACCCGGGCCGCCAGTAGTGGAGCGTGCGCACTTAAGCCACGGGGCCAGCCCTGTGATTGTCTTTTAATATCCGTTATTTGAGAAAATAATGTCCTATAACTAATCTGAATTTATTCACATTTAAGATATTTTTAAAAATTTGTCTTAAAGATATCTACATACATTTTAAAAATAGTACATACATATAAAAACGTCTGTAGACATGGATTCTCAACCACTTACAGTAATTTCATAGTCCTCTGCTCAGATCTGAGCTACCTGAGGCCTCTGTCCCCTGCTATTAGGACACCATCCAGAGGATTTCAGATACATGTATAGATGGAAACTCTCCTGTGCACAGGAGGTGCTGCAGCCTCTCTTCAGTAATGCCAATGCTTAGGAATTAGAACTTTTTGTGTAAGTTGTTAATATTGCAGCCAAGATCCAGATGAACAGTTGGTTTAGTGTTGGCAAATCCCTCAGTACAATACAATTGAAAATTCCCATAATTTGTGATGAAGCCAACACACCACTATCCTGTAGGTCCCTTAGTGACCCCAGGTTGGTCACTGCATTTCCCCACAATTCAGCCCCTTGATCTGTAGGATGGGAACGTTAGTGAAAACCCTGTTCAGTTATAGGAATGCCCATCTCATCCTTACAGAGTAAGGCACATGAATGTTGAAGGGGAGTTCTCTGCCTGCCCTCTCAGCATGCTCCAGTCTTTTGTCCCAAAATGGACAGAAATGTGCTATTCAAGATGTGGTCCACAGGCAGCAGCATCAGCATCACGAGGAGCTTGTTAGAAATGCAGAATACCAGGCCCACCCCAGACAGGTTGAACCAGGATCTGCATTTTAAAAAGCTCCCCGGAAGATTTGTTTGCACATTAGTGTGAAGAGCACTGATGTACAGCAGTGCCGCATCAGAGTTGTACGATTTCTGTTATTAATTCAGGTGCCTGAGCCCCACCCCAGGCCTACTGAATCAGAACCTCTAGAGAAAAAGCCCAGAAATTTTATGTTTATTAAACATGCCAGTTTATTCTCAGGTACACTAATATGTGAGAATCAGTGTTGTAGGGAAAGGAGCCCAACTCCAGCTTAATTTTTTTTCTTCAGTTATTTGTTGTTATTTCAGATAATATCCCTGCTGGCCATAAGCCAGACAGTAGGCACACAGATGAATGGATTTGACTTGAAAAGAAATAATAATTCTATAGTGTACAGCATCTTCTCTCACAGTATCTGCATGTTCTGGCAATGCTGTTTCACATCTCTTCTATTTGTGTCGTAACTCATAATGCTACATACTTGCTTTCTCTAAAACCATCAATCAACCAGAGTAGTTCTTTCCTGTCACACCGATGCCACCCCTTATGTTTTGTAATGCATTGTTTATGATCCTAATATGAAGTTCATAGCTACTATAACCTATCTAACATGTAATCAAAGTACGATGCCTTACCTGATATAAACAGGAAATTAAAGGAAAGTAACACATAATAAAATAACATGTAGTCCAATGTGTCGGTACGTGAGCTCAACCACACTGAGGGTATGATGAAGTCACCAATTGCTTGCACCCATGTGGGCAGTTAACAGCAGGCACAAGTGCAAACTGGCCTGAAGTGTGGGGGAGGGGTTGTATTGGCAGCTTAAATACTGTGAGCACTGTCACTGTTCATGATGTCGGCTTCTGAATTAGTGAACAGCTTTTGTAAAGTTCAGAACAAAACAAAATATAATCCTCCCTAGATTTATATATAATTGCATTCTTAGAATTCAGCATATATTACATCCATACCAGAAGTCCCTTTTATCTATAAAACAGAATTAGATTCTAAGTTCAGATGACTATAAATGGGTTTTTGAAAGTCATGAGAGATATGTTTTAACTCCTCATTTGTGTGTTCTAACTTTCTGTGGTGTGTCCACCACTCCTGGTTCCCACCCACTGAATGCCCATAGTGCCCCCCCATCACTGTTACAGCCAAACATTGCACCCACAGATTTCCCACATGCCCTCCAGGGGGCTGTACCTCTCCTGTTGAGAACTACTGCTGTGATCTGTGCCGTGGAAAGTATGCTGTTATCTTGTCTCGGGGGTTGGGGGATGGGTTTAGGTAAGGTGACCATGGTTTAATTTAAAAAGGTGAGTATAGTATTTCCCTCGCTTACCTGCCAATTGTGCAGCACCAGCACGTAACATTCTCCTTTGGCTTTTCTGTCAGGTAGGCCCAGGACAAATTGTGGTTCAGCCTTCCTGCTTTGCTTCTGATCCTCTTCCCCCACAGTACATTACAGTAGAAGATTTTTTTTTTTAATTTTATTTATTTATTTTTTCCCCCAAAGCCCCAGTAGATAGTTGTATGTCATAGCTGCACATCCTTCTAATTGCTGTATGTGGGACGCGGCCTCAGCATGGCCGGAGAAGCGGTGTGTCGGTGCGCACCCGGGATCCGAACCCGAGCCGCCAGCAGCGGAGCACGCGCACTTAACCGCTAAGCCACGGGGCCGCCCCCTGCAGTAGAAGTTAACACATTTGAAGTTCAGAATACAAAAAGAGGAAGAGGAATCCTTTTGTATGTGTATCTCTGGGTGCTGACTTTAAATTAAAGTATATTAAATTAAAAGTATAGACTCACTATTCATGGTTTGCCACAAATTAGCACAATAACCAAAATTTAGTGGTTATTTTGCTTGGTTTCATTTCCAGGTCAAGCGACCTCTCTAATACTGTTTGTCTGTTTGGGCTCTCCTCAGCTTGTTCTCTCAGGCTTCTTTCCTTAGACCAGTGCCAAAGGTTTCTCTTTCACTCTCCTCGGTTCCTGAGGAATCTTGTTTTGCTTAATCTGAGTTACCTGGCCTTACGCCTCAGCTCCAAATCAAAATGCCGCGACAGCCAACTGACCATGAAGGAAATGTCCCTGGGCCTCCACCAAATAAAGCAGGAGCCAGGCGGTGCTTTTCCTGGTCCTTCTCAATGAAGCCAGACTGCTTTCTTCTCCTCCATTGCTCATCTCCTTCCCTCCAGAATCTTCACGTTTTCTGTCTTTTAAGGAAGACTGCCTTTTCACCTTTCTCAAACCGTTCCCAGGACGTTCCGCTTGGATCCTATATCGCTGCCCTGTTCACTAGTTCACATGGGACAATTACATCCATTTGTCTAGCACATGCATATTGTCCCCTCTGCTCAAATAATACTGTCAAAAGTCCCACCATTAAAGAATTTCATCCGTTCAACTAGTAACATAAAAGCTAAGGGAAGATGCAGCCCCTGTAGTCAGAGAGCCTGCATTCAGCCTGGGCTCCAGCTCCCTCTCTGTGTGAACCTAAGAGTTGTTTAAACTTTCCGGGTCATTGCTGTTCCCTCCCTCAAATGTGTAAGTAGGTTGTGGTGAGGATTCTTCAAGATTATGTGGATAAAGCACGTATCACAGTCCTGGCTTCTGGTAAACAGTAAATATTGGCTGCTGGTATTCTCATCGTGCATGACCTACTCTTCTGGCCCTTCTTGTGCTCGGTGCTGGGGATGTAAGTAGGGAGAAGATGCTTGCTACTCAATGGAGTCATAGTTTAGTGGCAGGAAACAGACACACAAACAGTAATTACCGTACCTCAACATAGATTTTTAGGGTTCCCAGAGGGCAGTTTACCAGTACAGAAATTTTCAAATTATATAATTTATTGAAGTAATAAAACTAATTTTCAGCTTTTAAATTCAACCCATAATTTTATAAATCTAGTGAATTTAGCAGTTGGCTTTAAGGGGTTCTTATAATTCAGTTACTTAAATTTCCTTAGATATTTTAAACTCATTTTTAAATCTAACAAATTCTTTTTTCTGTTAAGTTTTGGAGCTGTCTGACTAATATACAAAACCTTCCCACGCACTTGAACAATTCTAGTAAAGCTAATTAATTATGTAGAGAGTCATCTTAAAGTCTGGTAATCATGATACTATTTAAAAACTTAGCAATATTCTCATAACATTCAACTTAAAAATCAAAGTCTGAATTAATAAAGTACACATTTGAAGTTGGAATCATAAGGTGAATCTGTTAGACTCCATGCTAACTTCTTAAATATAAATACTTTCAATACCAAATATGCGCAGGTTATTTCCAAATTTAATGTAAAATATTAAGTTTTGAATTACTTCATTCTGCATATTTAATTTTAAGTCTTTCAGAGGTTGAAGACCTTTACCAACTAAGGAAACAATTGTATCACCCCAGGCTTTTTGGAATTCTCTTCTTAATGTGTGGAGATTGCGTGTGACCAGGGTCTATGCCCTGGATGCAAGATCTGGGACACTCATATCCAGGGTGATTCTTTTCGTGATAAAGAGGGACGAGCTGAATGTCCACTTATAGGGGCTTTTCCCGTAGCGACTTCAAAGCATGTCCTCGCAGGGGTGCGCTCGTAGCCCATACTCTCTGGATTCAAGTTGCACGTTACGTGATCATCAAAGCTGATTTCAGCCTGCAAGACTAAACCCACCCCATTTATCATTACATTGTCATTTATAAACTACCTACATTTATCATTATACCTTTGTAATTCAA